TTTAATTCTAACTAACCCTGAGAGATTTTTTTCAAGAATTTCCTCATTTTTAAGGTAAGGCAACTGAAGTCCAGAGACAGCACTGAATCCCCCAGAAACACAGAGGAAGCTGCCAGCAGAACCGGGACCATCATCCAGGCTTCCTGATACCCTAGCTCCTGCTACCTTGAAAGCCCAGGGGTTCTGCGGCAACTGAACTCTCTGGGGAGGGTGGGGCTACAGGAAGCAGTGAGGGAGTCCTGTTTTCTAGCCCAGAGGAGTGGGCCCAGGATGGCTGCCACCCTTCCTCTTGATTTTGCAGAGACCGTCCCTGGCTGTGAATGAGAAAGAGTTGGGACTGGGAAGGGGGTCTAACCGCTGTGATGATGTCCTGGGTCTTGAGAGCAATGTGCTGGACCCCGGCGCCCCCGTTATAGTCCACATATTCCTGGGGGAGGGAAACAAGGACATCGCTGTCATTTGCCCCGTCACCCACATCCCTGACCCTGCAAGTGCTCTCAGACCTCTTCCCTGCTCTCCCTCCCCCAGCCGGGGCGGCCTCACCTGGATCTGGGACTTCTTCTTGCCGGGCGCTGGCTCATTGATGGGCATCTTGATGGACTCCTCATAGTTGGCCACCACAATGGATCGCAAAGAGCTGTATTCCGTGTGCACCTGTGTGTCATCCACGGACCAGAAGCGGTGGAACTGCAGGTTTTTCAGGTACCTATAGGGTTGACGGCGGAACACATCTGTTCTGAGCGCCTCCTGGGACGGCCTCCACCACCCCATCCCCACCTTCCAGAATCTGTCCCTGAGCAGGCTCCAGAAAGGAGACGCCATTGCCATCATGCCAATCAGAGAACTTCGATTTTTGTTGTTGTTGCTTGAGACAGAGTCTCACTCTGTTGCCCAGGCTGGAGTGCAGTGGTGCCATCTTGGCTCACTGCAGCCTCCATCTGCAGGCTCAATGCTCCTCCAACAGCCTCCCAAGTAGCTGGGACTACAGGCATGTGCCATCACACCTGCCTAATTTTTTTTGAGACTGAGTTTTGCTCTTCTCACCCAGGCTGGAGAGCAGTGGCGCAATCTTGGCTCACTGCAACCTCCACCTCCTGGGTTCAAGCAATTCTCCTGTCTCAGCCTCCCAAGTAGTTGGGATTACAGGTGTGCACCACCACGCCCAGCTAATTTTTTATATTTAGTAGAGGCGGGGTTTTACCATGTTGGTCAGGCTGGTCTTGAACTTCTGACTGCAGGTGATTCACCTGCCTTGGTCTCCCAAAGTGCTGGGATTACAGGCGTGAGCCACCATGCCCAGCCATATTTTTTGTAGAGATGAGATTTTGCTATGTTGCCCAGGCTGGTCTTGAACACCTGGGTTCAAGCCATCTGCCTACCTCAGCCTGCCACGGTGTTGAGATTCCAAATATAAGCCACCATGCCCAGCCTAGACTTGTATCTTTATGATGACACTATTCCTTCAGGTGGAGGTGTCTTGGAACGAAATACATATAGGAGAGCAAGCCTCCCTCAGATGGAAGTAAAGTGCTTTGAGAACAAGGCCCTTGCTCGGGATTTGGACAAGGGTGCTGTCTGGGTAGTGGCAGCTTTCCTCCAAGCCTCCCTGGACTGTGATGCCCCAGGATTCCTCAGAGGAAGGGCCTGTGGGTTGTTTTGAGCCTTAAGTCCACTGGTCTCCATGTTGACAGTTTTACAGTGAATAAACACATCAGTGGCCTCAGGCCAACTCCCATTATCTTGTGCTGTATTTTCCACTTTTATTTTATTTTATTATTATTATTTTTGAGATGGAGTCTCGCTCTGTCACCCAGACTGGAGTGCAGCGGTGCAATCTCAGCTCACTGCAATCTCCGCCTCCTAGGTTCAAGCGATTCTCCTGTCTCAGCCTCCCGAGTAGCTGTGACTACAGACGTGCACCACCATACCCAGCTAATTTTTGTATTTTTATTAGAGATGGGGTTTCACCATGTTGGTTGGCCTAGTTTTGAACTCCTGACCTCAGGTGATTCACCCGCCTTGGCCTCCCAAGACTGAGATTACAGGCGTGAGCCCCCGCACCCAGCCTATTTCATTTTATTTATTTTTTTGACACAGAGTCTCGCTCTGTTGCCCAACATCCACCTCCCTTCAAGCAATTCTCCTGCCTCAGCCTCTTGACTACCTGGAATTACAGGTGCCTACCACCACACCCAGCGAGTTTTTGTATTTTTACTAGAGATGGGGTTTCATCATGTTGGCTAGGCTGGTATTGAACGCCTGACCTCAAGTGATCCTCCCACTTCGGCTTCCCAAAGTGCTGGGATTACAGGTGTGAGCCACTGCGCCCAGTCTTATTTTCCACCTGAGTGCAAGGACCAGGGAGTGGGCCGGTTCGCCATGGGGACCCGTCATCTTCACGCAGAGGGAGAGGGCCAGGGTCTCACCATTCAGAGGCCGACACCATCTCCTGATCAGGCTGGTTTCCCACAATGTGGTCGATAACCTCGAGACTGCACTTGGGCCTGGGGGAGGGAAGAAGATGGGGGTGAGAAGGTGGCTACCCCCCTTCTCCACGACCCTCAATAATAAGAGCTCACACTGCTGTTTTTGGAGTTTTATTTTTTTGTAGAGATGAAGTCTCTGCAAAAGAGAGACTCTTCTGTTGCTCAGCCTGGTCTTAAACTCTGGGGCTCAAGCGAGCCTCCTGCCTCAGGCTCCCAAAGCACTGGGATTGTAGGTATGAGCCACCGTCCCCGGCCTCACACTTACATAGCATTTACTATGGGCCACACATTTTGTCAATCTACAGACTATTACAGTCCCCATTTTGCAGATGAGGAAACTGAGGCCTAGAGAGATGAAGCGACTTGCCCAGGGTGAAACAGCTGTGAAGTAACAGAGCTGGGATTTGAACCTGGGGAAGTTTGGTTGCAGAGGCCATGGTCTCATGTCCTCCCCCCTGAGGACTTCCAGGAATTCCCTAGCCGGCTCACTCTACCCCATCACACATGCCCAGGGGACATGGAGGAGGCGGGCATTAACTTCTCACAGCACCTCAGAGTTTTCCACCCACCTCTGCCCGGAGGGACACTCACAGTTGAGGAAGTAGGGGGTCCATGAACGCTGGGGCCTTATATCCAGGCAAGAATCGGCCGGCGTAGTTCATCTTCTCCACCAGGGTGTGTGTGGTGTCGCCATACTACAGGTGGAAAACAGCCTGGCTCGGCCCCTGGGCGCCCATCCCCGCCGAGGACAGAGCACACTGCATGGTGCCAATGCAGCCCTGGCATCCAACCCGCAACTGACCCTAACTGGATGCATGATCCTGGACAAGTCACTTCTCCTTTCTGAAATGCATTGCAATCGGTCGCTTGTTTGTGAGTTTCTGTGAGGGCGGGGACACTGTGTTGCTCATCATGGTGTCCCCAGCGCCAAGCTCAGTGCCTGGCGCAGGGAGGTGCTCAATGAAGTACCCCCTTCATTCATTTATTTAAGTAGGTCAACTGGATGAAGAACGTGGGAGGGCACTGGGTTAAATTATACTGAAGAGCTCCGTCAGCCACTTTAGCCATCTTTTTTTGGTTGTAGTTTGAGATGGAGTCTCACTCTGTCACCCAGGCTGGAGTGCAGTGGTGCGAATTTGGCTCACTGTAACCTCTGCTTCCTGGGTTCAAGCGATTCTCCTGCCTCAACCTCCTGAAGTAGCTGGGATTATAGGCGTGCACTACCACGCTAGGCTAATTTTTATGTTTTTAGCAGAGATGGGGTTTCAACATGTGGCCAGGCTGGTCTTGATCTCCTGACCTCAGGTGATCCACTTGCCTTGGACTCCCAAAGTGCTGGGGTTACAGGCGTGAACCACTGCGTCCAGCATTTTTTTTTTTTTTTT